TCAGCCCAACATGAACACTCAGATCTGTGCTGATGGTGCTAGTGGTGATGTTCTTCTTTACTGTTTTATCAATTCTGATCCTACTTGTGATATTTTGTACTCCTCTGAGTGACTTGAAGAGTCTTCTACTACAAAGGTATGACATGGGCCAATAGACATGAAAATTAGCATTTCATAGGTTTTACTGTGTTTCACATATGTCTTTGTGTATTTTAAGCAAGTTTTTACCCTCTATCAACTTGTAGAACAAAAAAATTGTGTTCAGGTATTTTCCACCATAATGTTAATTTCCAAACATTTATGAGGACTATATTGTACATACTTTGTCAAGATGGAAGTAGTAAGCCTTAATTTAATCTATGTTGAGTAACATGAGACAATAATAATAGCAACAACAATCTCAAGGAATCAATGTAGTTGTAAAATTATAAAAAAAGGACAAAACCAAAATATATTTCCAAGAAAGTAAGCAGACATCTCTAATAAAGGAGCAGTATTTGAACAAAGAGTGCACCTGTGTTCATAGGAAATGACAAAAACTACATCTCCATGTCCTTTGACTTTGAAGAAATCTGCTCAAATAAATTATCATGTATATATTATAGGCTGTTTTAAAGGCTAAGTGAATGTTTCCATTTTGCATTTAAAAATTTGGCTGCTGAATCATTAAAATACCATCAACTTCTTACCTTCACTTCTAAGAACTCATATTTCTTCAACAGAGAAGAGGGCAAACATTTCTTCACTCATATTGAATTATTTTCTTTGCCAGGGTGAAATTTACTGCCACATAAATATAGCTAAATATCTTGGGACTATTCATTCTCAGAGAAGAAGGGCAATATGGCATAATAATTTTATTTCTTTTCAAAAAAATTACCTGTACTACTCAAACGGAAATAAAGATAATACACTAAAGATGTGACACAATAGATTTAGGATAGATGTTAAAAAACAATGACTGAGTTGATGATGCGAAGTGAATAAGTATTCTTATGGAATCAAGTTAGATTTAGAATTTAATAAATGGAAAATATGATACATAAATATCTCTATCTTACTAAGTTATTGTACACAGTCACATTTATGCTTTAACAGTTACTGCATGCTTAAAAGCAAATTGAAACGAAATTAAAACAGATTTATATAAATAGACTAACTTCTGAAATAAGATTGGGATGACATTTTTAGGTATTAGCAAAAATTCAGTGTCTTGAATTCAAATATTTTAAGATGACTTGAATACCTGTTATTTTCCCAGATGTTTCATTTGATAGCCATTCTTGACCATTTGTTTTACTTATATAAAGAACTACCTCACTATGGACATTCATACACATAAGTTATCACTATATTTCATAATATATTTGTTAAAAATGGATAATTTAGCATACTTTGGGCATTAGTGACCAAATAATCAGAGATGCCATCTTGTGGATAACTAGGTAATGGGCCAGTTGATCTGCAAGAAAAAGTAAAAAGCTATATTCTATTTCTACTTATTCAAAGTAACAAATCACTTTCATAACAGTTTAAAACATATTTAAATTCCAAAGTTTTTCATATAAATTATCACCTGAAGGACATGTTCTCTCTTCTGAAGTTAGTATTAACCTAAGCCTTATTAATATGCACATTGGGAAAAATTCAGTATTCTGTATAATTAGCCTCTAGTGTTGATTTGTTTTGATAATATAAATAATTTGCTTAACCACAAAATTGATGTAACTGAAGTAATTGTCAGGCAATTAAATACCGTAATGATTTCAGCTTCGGGAAAATATATAGTAAGTACAGTAAGAAATCAAAACGATGTATTTTCTTGAAGTATAAAACATCTAATCAACTTTCCAAAAATATATTGCTGTAGTTTTCATGATCTTGGTGTCATAAAATATGGATTAATATTAATTTACAAAGAGTAAAGCCTACATGGATTTCTATAAGTTACATACCATTAGAATTAAAATATACTGTATTGTTCAGAACTCACTAGAGTTGTGGGAGAGTGTTAAATAGTAATCCAATGTCAATAGATTCTAAAATGTAGTATGTTTTTCTTTGGTTAAAATGTAATTTTTTTCAATATCCTGTTAAAATATATCTATATTTTACTTTTTAATATGTGTATATTGAAAAGACTACTCAATAAATAATATTGCTTTCTTATTTTTCTTGCAGGTCTAATTGGTAATTTCTAACTTTTGGATTTTTATGTTTATAATAAGGTCAAAAATTTCAATAATATTTTATATAGTAGTGATCATTTTCATTGTCTTATAAATTTTTACTTAAAGTAAACATTACTTTGGGCTTCTTTCTCTCACTCTTTCTCTCTCTCTCTCTCTCTCACACACACACACACACACACACACACACACACGCATACATACCTGTATGTGCAGACTGATGTAGAAGTATTGTTAGATTTTTGAAAAGACTCTGAAATCAGGGCTGGAGGCTACCTGAGCTTTTTCTGCTCAAGGCTAGCCCTCTACCATTTGATCTATAGCTCTACTACTTTTTAGAAAGCTAATTGGAGATCACAGAGTCTCACAGAATTTCTTGACCAGGTTGACATCAAACCACAATTCTCAAAGTTCAGCTCCCTGAGTAACTAGGATTATAGTCATAAGCCACTTGACCCCAAATATAACCCATTATTTGGGTCTATTGTATGTGTCACTGTGGCATAGAAATGAATTTTTAAGTTAAAATAATTATAATTTTTTGAGTATTATAATCACCTGGATATACATTTATTTTAAAACATTAACTAAATGGTTTTCAACGTGTTTTATATATGCATCAGGACATAATTTTGCTTGTTATCTATTTATATCATTAATATTTTATAAAATGTATGAAATGAAAGAGCATATTTTATTTTATAAATTATTTTCTCCATGACATATCCTCTTAGCAATGATAATTTCCTGGCTTTATCATTTGTCTACCATTATCCAAATTCATCTTTCTGTATGTAATTCAGATTTATGTTGGTTTGCATGGGAATTAATCTTTTTTCTATATATGTTTCCATCTAAACTCCCATATTCAGGCAGAAATAGGTAAACAAGTATACATCTTCACAAATAGTTTTGAGTCTAGAGTCTTCTTATGCTTAACATATGATTAAAGTCTCTCTAATTCTATGATGATATACAGAGTGATTCAGTATTATAAATCTGATTTGCAACATTATTTTCTTTTGAAACATATGGTAATATTTCTTCTTTCCTTCTTTTGAGATCACTGAATTAAAATCTGTATTTTAAATCTCCAAAATATCTTTGAAACAGACATACTTGAACATGTTGAAAATCATTTAGTTAATGTTTTAAAATAAATGTATATCCGGGTGATTATAATTCTCAAAAAATATAAAACAGACATACTTGATTTTTCCCTATGATAGCATCAGTGGTATCTTACTGTGTATGATTTTTTTATATAAATAACAAAATTTCACACATGACCTGGCCTGATCCCTGTATTAATGTTTGTTGTGAGAATTATCACTTTTTTCATTCTACAGAAAATATTAGGGTATAGACATTCTTACATATAGAAAATGTTGGGGACTGGAATACTGAGTCTTAATCTGGAATTTACACCCTAGCTCACACACTTATTTCCTATTAAAAGCAACAGTTGTGATGGCTGATCATAAAATTAGAACTTGAGATGAGCATGTGAGTTTCTTTTCATGTATTATCAACTTTTAAAATTCTCTCTGAAGCCATCTCATAAGCATAATTTACTGTCTTTGAAAAAAATGGGGAGGGATTCTAACAAGTATTGGTCCTGAATCCATTATTCAGGAGAAAATGAAGTTACTTAAAGGCATACAAGGGCATTGTTGATGTGAAGGGATGAAACAAATTTCTTTACTCTTTCCTAGGTGCTTGTACTGTTTGCATGCTGAGCTGCACAGCTTTCAAAAGGCTTGCCCTGGGATATAGCTGCACTGGATTTAGAAGGAGCTTGGTCAATGAATAGCTCTGGTAATTCTCGCATCTCCCAGGGATGCGGATGACAGCTCCTTTTGGTGGGGAAAGCTGGGGTATATTTCAAGGTGATTGTAGTTTTGTTCTTCTGGCAGCAAGCTGCTGCAACCAGCTTAGCCCATTATCCTTCTCTCCCAGTGGACATAAGCCTGGGGAGAAATCTGGGGCTTTTGTCAAGATAGAAGGTAAGAGATGGATAATTATTTCCCATTTATGTTCAAAGAGAAGAGCACTATATCATAAAATAGCTTTCAATTACTGTAATGGGATTGCATATAGAACCAGTGACTTATAAAATACTCTTGTAAAAACCAATATTCAACACAATTGTTTTGCTAACACTATGCTTTTAATATCTTATACATTAAACTTCATTACACAAAACTTTAGAGACTGTTTAACGTTCAGAAAGTAAAATACCTGACAATTTTTGTATTTCTAGTAGGTTTAAAAATACAGATAGCTGCTTTGGCCAAATTGATTGCAAGCTATATTGCACACTTGTCTATATTGTAATTTTTCTCAACTTGACTTTCTCAAATGTCTTAGAGTGGGCTTCTGCAATCCATGCAATGGAATTAGGAAATGTTAAACTCTAAATGTTGTGATCACATTGACATTTTCCTTGTGACACTTATTCTTTGAAATATTCTTTGTGAGTAATATTTTTAAAACTTGAAGATTAAAATTGAGGTTTAAAATTCCTCATAGGTTTTAATTTGTTACTTATGTAAATAGTTCAAAGCATACATAGGGTGTGTGGGGGGGTATTTTCAGCTTGTGATTTGTTTAAATGAAATAGAGTAACTCACAGAAATGAGCATTTCAATTTGTAGCTGACAGTTTAGGGTTAAGGCATGATTCCAGGTAACAGAAGCCAATGAGAGTAAACCCAGTTGATGCTCGTGACATCATCTTCCAGTCGGAGTACATAGAACAGCTGAGGTAGCGTTCAGTTCCAGCCCCAGTGCCAGTATGATGGATGTTTACATCTCTTCATTGAGAGCCAATTATCTCGCTTTTGTGTGAGGCCCAGGGATCACTCATGCTGCCAGGCTGCACAGAGCCCTGCTAGATCTGGCTGAACGAATTGTTTTTTCTCTCTCTCTCTGGTAAGATCCTTCTCCGTTTTACCTTCTCTTCTGAAATAAAGGTAGAGGTGTTTAACAGAGGGAATAGTACATAAGGGTTGAGCAGGGTTACTATCTGTAACGCTTTTATTCAGAACAGTGCATAGTATCATTAAAAGGAAGTGAGGATCGAGCAAAATGAATTGAAAAAGCCTGCTAATGTGTACCTGACAAACTAATTTGCAGTAGAAAACGAATGGCAGGTCGTTCCGGCTTTTTCCTAGAAAAAGGAAAGTAAGTGCTTTTGTAGGACCGCTGTTCTGAATGTTTGTTTGTTTGTTTAAAAATATTGTATGTTTAATTTCTTTAAAATTTGCTCTTAATAGGAAAGAGTGGAGGTAGAAACAGTCAAATAGTATTATAAATGTGAAATGAGTTAAAGTTTCTAATTGTTAAATGGCAGTCTTTGGGACAGTATTTCCAAAGTTGTGCCCCTACAGGAAAAGCAAAATTTGCCAAGGCAAGAAAAGGTTTGAGGTTCTGAAATGAACTTTTAGCCACTTTGTACTCATACTTATCATTTTTACCTAAACAGACGCAAATAAAAGATATTTTCAAGAACAATGTAGGGAATTTTTCTTGGTATGTCAGAGAAGTTAAAATCATTTATTACATTGTTTTGCACACTATTGTTTTTACACTGCCTTTTGTGTATCAAAGAATCCTAAAAATAAAGCTTTACATGATCCAATCATTTGTCAGTAGTAACATTTGCATCTGAGATACCTAATACTGTAGCAAAACAAATATATTTACATCTTGTTAACTGCTGCAGATATAGGTGATTGAATCTGACAAAAAGCTTGAAGCACTCAGTTACTCTTGAAAGCTCTTAATGGATTGAAAATGTTTATGTTACCAAAATAATTTTGAATGATGATTAGTACTATAGCATATAGAAGAATATTATTTTATTTTAAAATTAAACCCAGATTAATGTAGACTAAAAGTACAGAAAAATTAATTGATGCTATTTAACTCACTATTTTGTGTTTTGAAAGCACCTTTACCTTTAAGAGTAAGAAACTTTTGAATAATGACTCAACCATAAGACTTTGTTTTGTTCATGGATTTCAGGCTTACTTGTATATATAGACTATCCTTTCTTTGCAAATCAACATTTTAAACAGTTAGAAGCAAAAAAAAATCCTGTAACGTTCCAGTATTATTTAAGGAAGCAGTGTTCTCTGAGCTATGTCACACTTCAGTATTTTCTACTAGTCCAGTCCTGTCTGGTAGCATTTGACATTACTGTTGTTTGATTTGTCTCTTTCAGTCAATTATGGTCGGGGGAAACAACAACAACAACAATAAAAAAAACTAAACTGATAAAAAAGTGTCAAATTTTCAAATATGTTAGTAGAATCACAAGAATTCATATATAATCAACTAAACACCTAATGCTTGCAAATAGTTTTTTTTTTAAATCTACCTTGCTATATTCTCAAAATTTTAAAGCTTAAAAGTAGGAATATAGAAGTTTTGGTAATGTGAACTCTTATGTATAATGATACACTGCTTTGAAATGAAGTGTGCTTTCATTTCCCCACCCTCCTTTAAATATTCTAAAGTGGAATTGAGTAACTCAGGGGTATTGACTCTGTCATTTTCACAGGTGATCAATCTTCACCAAGGGTACAGCCTTCATTTCCTCACAATTAATTTTCTAAAAATCTATTTCTATCAACAATGAAGAAACTCTTACTCGGTCAATGAGCAGCCTAGACATTTAAATTGTTTTTTCCTCCTTTGTGTGTGAACATCTCTCTCACTATTAGCCATTGTGATCACAATAGGACTGCTCTGATACTGATTGTGACATTACTCATTTTTTGAGTATTGTAAAGTGACTTTTAACAATAAAACGTGGATATAATGATCTGAGCTATCTAGTGAATGGAGTTCTTTGACAGGGTTTTACATTTTATTTTATTATTTTACTTTTTATTTTAGAAAGTTTATAGCAATTCTTTTGGCCACAAACTCCTCAAGAAGGACTCCCAGAACAGGGGACATAGGTCACCCTTGGTTTACTGGGCTCTATTTCCTTCCTTATAAGGCATATATCTATTCTTTATAGGAGTTTACTTAATCATCATTACTACTATTTTTAATTCTCAAGTAATTTTCTATGTAATATCATAAAGTACTTTATGCTGTATACCAAATTAAAATAGTACTCAGTGACAGGTTTGGCACATCTTAAAACTTGGGAAACAATTCAGAGTGACACAAACAAGTTGTATTTTCTAAATATTCTTTGTGTATTCCAAATACTGAACTCGATATGTGATCCTTTTGAAAATTATTTCACTGATTATCCCACTAATTATCTATTATACAATGAATAGTCATATTTCCTAAGCCTTCATTCTATCCTACTGCAGTTTCATACAATCATCTCTATTAGCTTCCTGTAATGATTGAATTCAAGTAGCATTTACTTTTCCTACTTCTCAGTTCTAGTATTGAACCAAAAGTTATATTTAATATCTATCAAATTTGTTTGGAGATGGTCAGTAAGCCAACTTGTCTTTCTAAGCAACTTTGTTACTTATACAAAAAAATACAGTAATGATAATGTTTTAGTTTGGGATTAGACTTTTACACAAGTGTATGTATGTTTAGGTGCATGTTTTGTGATTATACACTAAATATGTGATTTTTAAAGTTTAAAAGATATTTTAGTGTTCATAATATCTCAATCTGAATAACTGGTCTCTGGTAAGGCAGCTAATATTGTATAGCTAAAGAAATAGACATTAATAATGTGTAAATGATTCCCAGTCCTCATTCAGTAAATCAATAATAGAGGAGGTAGGGCTCAGAAACAGATTTACAAATTTCATCACAATCAAGCAATCAATCTCTTACTTTTTTCACATATTTAGTTATCTAACTGCGTGTTAATTTATTTTTGATTGCTCTGTGCCAAGTTCTCTTCTAAGTGCTTAGCATTTGTAACTGAACAGTATAAAGGATCATGCTCTTTGGCATGCTGTAAATTTGTTTTTTTTTTTTCTATTTTAAGTTCTCATCTTTAAGTTAAAGCCAATAGAATATTTGTTTTTTGATGAATACCACTTAGAGCTTTCCAAGAAACCAGAAACACGATGTTTTTATAGGTCTGTAATTTCTCAGATATGTTCTAATATAAAATAGATTTCTTCACATTTTATGGCTGTATTTTATTTTAAAAAACTGTATAATTACTTTATACTTTTGTTTGATTTTTAATGTAAGCCCAATGTATAATTACTTTATATTCTTGTTTGATTCTTACTGTAAGCCCAGGAATATTACAAAAGTAAAAGAATTAATTTTAGATTATAATATATATGTAATATTATATATCTTATATAATATATACATATATTCCATCATCAACCATTTTTGGACAAAGTGGTCTCATATTTCAATATATCAAGACAGCTATATGTTTATACTCCATTTTGTAATAAAGTCTTTAGTGGTAATAGTGGGTTGAGTTTACAATTGGTTTTCGTTTTGCTAGGACCTAGTAGCATAAATAGGGGATAACATTTCTTTTATCATTTCTTTTAATTAGCAATCTTACCTTTCATATTATCCCAGTTTGTATCAGAATAAGCACACAATAGATCATATGAAGTCTAAGATCCATGTTTTTCAGTACTGACAAATTAATATTAGTACCTAAGACAATTGTACCAAAAGTGATATTTAATACCTATCAAATTTGTTTACAGATTTACAGTGATTTGAAAAGGGAAAAAAAAGCCTGAAGTATAATTTCTCCAGAGAAAATCAACCTGTACATAGAATATATTAGCTGAAGATAAACCATTTATAGATGGTATCATTTAATTAGCTATTGAGGATTCTAGAGAACTAAGTATGCATCATGACACACCTCAAACCTACCTACCTACATTTGACGTCACACAGAATATTTTACAAATATTGTTTCATATTAGTGAAATAATAGCATTAAACCCTATCTTTTTGGTAATACCAATATGAAATGTGCATATTTTTATTTTATTTTTTAATGTTGAGATGCTGTACAGAGGGGTTATAGTTACATGAATAAGGCAATGAGTATGTTACTTGTCGATCATAGCTACCCTTTCCCTTCCTTCTTCTTGTCCTACTATCCCTTCCCTCCCCCACCTTCCCCACTCTTCTCTCTTCTCCCGCCCCCAACCCCCTTGCCACACCAAGTTGTAAAGCTCTTTTCCAATATGTTGTTCTGTGGGTATCCTTGTTGCAATGAGTCATCCTGCATTTTGTTATTCCCTTTCCCCTTCCCAGATTAAAAATGTGTATATTGAAGGAATAAAATTGGAATTAGATAATTAAAGGTATATGAGTATGTTTATGCCTTCCATTTAGTCTCAGAAGACTTGGCCTAGGAAGTTGCCCTTTTAATGGCTTAATAATTATAAAGAATTTTCATTCTTTCAGTGCTACAGTTTCTCACATCAGAATTGCCTAAACTGGACATAGTAATAATAATTGCTTACTCTGGATATAACCCAGAGTAATTAAATATGACTGCTTTGTTAAGATGTTTCAGGAGGCACTGGGCCTTACATTTAGCTATATTTCCCTAATGATATCCTCCAAATTAATTTTGATAATGTTTATGATAAGAAAAACTTAAACTGGTTTCAGATCAATTTTAATGTTAATTGCTACCTGAAGAAAAGACTTGGTTGCTTTTTTCTGTCACTGATTTCAGTGGCAAAATATTTAGCATAACAAAGTGCTTGTCTTGGCCACAGAAGTGAGTCTACTCTTGTACCATACTGAAAAACTCAACCTGCATCATCACAGCATTTGCATCCATATAGAGACTACACTATTAATAGAACTGAGTATACAAATTGGTGTTGAAAAGTCACCCAAATGAAGCATTATGCTGAGTGAAAGTTAGGAAATTGGATAGGGTAAGATAAAATCTCTTGTGATTGACAGAGCAAGTTGTAAAGGTAAATTTC